ACTAGCACAAAGTAAAATGATAAAAACTTATACATAAAAGTGTCTATGGCTATGGCTTACCGGCTTGCAGTTTGGTGTATTCCAAACATTATTGCACGATGTCCAGGGCAAGGTGTTGGTGAAGGATGCAAAAAAGAAACGCAACGACCAGGCAATGATCACATTGTAGTAAAAGTCCACATAGAACGCAATCAGCACCACCGCATAACCGATGCCTGGAAAATGATATACATTTGCGATGTGTTTCCTCGGGCTATGCTTTGAACTTACCTTTAAAGAGCGGCACTACGCGACCCCAGCAGGTGATGGCACCCTTACGAATGTGCTGGCCGAGTGCCAGCTCCATGTAGAACAGCGGTATGCCGCCGACCACCAACATAATGCCATACGGCACAAGAAAAGCGCCTGAAAAAGAGTTAGTTCGAGATACTCAGAGATAGTTTCAGATGCGTGGGAAATGTTAAAGACAAAGGCAAAGACAAAGTCGAAAGCGGTTACAAGAAATACCAGAAAACTGGTTGGACCGACAGCTGTGTGGGTCCCATCATTGATAGCAGCCCAAATGTGGCCCGACACCTGCAACTTTGATGACACAACGTTTTTTTATCTTTTTTAATGATAATGATTGCATAACTGGCACATACATACAGAGCAGAGTAGAGACTGACCCGTGTCACAGCCTCTTCATTGTTCGCCCTATACATATATCTATGCCCGTCCGTGCACTTGTATTTGCCATGGATCCATGCTTTTATGGGTGTTCGTTCGTACACAAAATCAAATTGTTTTACAAGTGCCACTCTAAGGACATTTTAAAAACATTAACAGCATACCCAGAACAGAGGGGGTGGGAGAATGTCACGGGCTTGGCTGTCTCATGCAGCCATCTCCGTCACCTCCGGCCACCCCATCGCCCTATCAAACCCCACACCCGCAGACCCTGGCACCATCGCTGGGCTCTGACAATTGGTAGAGTGCCATCGATACTTTGTCGAGTGACAGGGGATGATGTCTTTATGATTTGATTATGTCTATTAGCAGGCAAAGTGGCCGACAACGTCGTCTACGGTTATTATATACCTATACATAATATACATATGTACATACATCTATGCAGATATATACATATCTATGCTTGTTTGGGTGTTTGGGTGGCTCTTCCTTCCGTTCGTCCTGTCAACTATGTAAAACAAGAAGAAAAAAAAGTTCTAAAATAAAGGCAAGGCATCCGTGTGATGGGGCAATGCTCTGTTGTTGAAGCCATAATTTCCGTCGCTTCAAGTGCATTTCCCCGTTTCCAACAGCTCGACAAGGACACTGGCAAAAATATACATACGTATACTACGATGATGTATGTGTGGCGCTTCTAATTCGATTCCGTATCCATACCCTGATTGAAACTAAAGAGATGTCCATGCTGGCCATTGTTGGACCATCATTTAAAATTGATCAAACTTTTTGGGCAACATTTTTGGCAAGTTTTTCAATTTTCAGGGGGTAAATTTCAATAGATAGCTTTTGCCGTATCCTTTGAATATAATTGCCACAAAATCTCCAACAACACACTATTAAACTTGCAAAGGAAATTGCTACAAGTTTCAAACGGTTACAGAACACTTGTTAAGCCACTGCTAGCTTCATGGCTTTGCCAGGCAAAATTCTCTGAGCGCAAGTTCCTCTTGGAGGCTGCCACAGCCTGTTGCTGCAGCTTTATTGGGATTGCAAGAGTAAGAGAATGGAGAAAGAGAATAAATAATACTCACTAAGCTGTGGTAATAATCGCAACCTGCGCGAGTTGCGGTGGCTGTGGCAACCGTCCACGAGCCAAGGGGACATTAAACGGGGACTTAAGTGAAAGCTGCCACTGATTGAACGCAATGAAGCGTATAAATATAACAATTTATTAATATGATTTTAAAGCAAGCCCAGCAAAGAAATCATAAAATAGTAATAACTATACGAAAAGGGACGAAAGCCCATCCATTCTTATTGCATCAGCATCAGAGGGAAAGTGCCGCAATCAGAGCAAAGGAGAATGGAGATGGAGACATGTTTCGCACATGAATTTCCCACAATGCGGTGCGTGTGAGTGCCAAAGCAACAAAAGCCTAGAGAGAGCAAAGCACTTCACATATGTGAGACGGAAGGCGAGAGAGAGGGGACGAACGTTCTCTGACATATTGCCTGGATATGGAGCGGTAGTGCGGGAAGGTATGGATGTGTGTGTACCTCTGAGAGAGGGTAAGAAGGCCAAATGCGATTATGACTGCCAGATTTAGCTGTCATACAAAAGCACTTAACTTTTGGAATTGTTTTGAATGATGGTGTTGACGACGAGGATCAGGAAAAAAAGGGGAACTGAATGTGTGTGTACGAGTCCTTTACCACAATTCCCCCCCTTCTGCAATTTGACAAAGGAAGTGCGCTCTTATACGCTATACCAACTCCGCTGCTTCCCCCACCAAGCTGGAGCCCACTCTGACAGCACTTCGCACCACTTTGACAAAGTGTTAACAAGGCCAGAAGGAGACATAAATGGGAATGGGAGTGGAGGTGGCAGCGGAAAGTGTTGGGTTCCGTGGGGCGCTCAATGATGTGTAAAGCCATATAAATTATATTCACTCAGCATGAGCAATTCACGCAATGTCTTTAGTGGCCTAATTGGCCACGGCCAGAGGGCCAGAGGGCCAGAGGACCAGCCAGGGCAGAAATCAACAGAGAAAGGCTTTGGTTACATGTAGATAAGTACTTACCACCTCCATTTTTGTAGCACAAATAGGGAAATCTCCAGACGTTTGCTAAATCGACGGCGAATCCAATAACCGATAATAAAAAATCCACCTTGCCGCTCCATTCTTCGCGCTCGTCGCTGTTGCTATTGTTATCGTTATCGTTATCGTGTGGCGTGGGCGTCTTTGATGCATGTCCCGTTGGTGACATCTGCGACTCTATATCCCGTCGTGTCCTTGACCCAATACGTCTCGATGTCGACGACGCCTATAGTTCCCGCCGCCGCACTGCGAATCCTGCAAAATCATAGCCCAAAAATACATTTTACTCCTCTTTAAGTTCAACTCTCTCATCTGCTCTTCAGGAATGCATGGTTTGGATATTTGTTTGCGTGTCCGCATGAGTGGGTGTCCATACCACTCGAAACCTGTTTGCCAACGACATGTGCTCTCCACCTAGCCCTTGAAGAGCTCAAACGCGTTGGCCTACTCCCACTCGAACTCGTATTCGTACTCGTATTACGTATACGACAGGTGGCATGCCCAACACAAACACTTGACCAGCACCAGCACCAGCACCACAGCCACAAAATCTCACACAGAGAGCGTGTGCCTGATGGTGCGGGTCAAACTCTTGCAAGAACTGTCTGGCAAAGCCACAGAGATGTCAAACAATTAAGCCGATCCACTTGCTTCCTCCCCCACCGAGTTTAATTGCTTCAACTTTTGATCAAATTAAACGCAGAATCTGCAGAGTGCGTGCTCAGTGGGCACAGCTGGAGATCTCTTTTTATTAAAGGGAAAATCACAATTAGCTCTGAATTCCTAGGTTTAGTTGAGGCCTCCGACAGAGCTCTCTAATCTACGCAGAGTCTTAGCTGTGTTCACTAAGTATATTCAGTTTCATTTCCAGTTATTCTAGTTATTCAGGTGTTCAATTTATTACGATTGCAATTCATATTGCAGGGTCAAGATAGTTTCTAATGATTATTAGTTCGGGATCACTTTCTGCATATTGCATTTGCTTAGCGCTTAAAGCACACAAAATCTATTCAAAAATCAAATTATTAAACACTTTTTGGCACAACTTACCTTAACTTTATCACACTCAAATCGTACAGCTGCACCAATCCATGGTAGAGGAATCCGTGAGAACTTTAAAAAATATCGGAAATACTGTTCAAGAAGCTCCACAGAATAATGCCACAAACTCGAAAACTTAAAATTCACTTCACATTCATATGCTGGGATAATTGTGGCAGGGAATTCCTCTTAGATGACCATGGAATGGGTGCGATTGAGGGCTTTTTTGGAAAATTCAAAGCTAGTCGCGACCAGTAGTTGTCCGGAGTTGTGGCGCTTTCGGTGACATTCGAGTGTATGCAAGAGGCTGCTGGCCAGCATCGCCTTTTATAGGGTCCGCGCGACAAGTGGTTAACCGTTGGCTGGTGGTGGTGCTGCTGCTGCTGCTGCTGCCTCTGCTGCATTCTCAAGCACTTACACACAGAAACACAGCTTTGAGTGTGTGTGTGTGTGTGTTTGTGTCAAGCGCAGCCACAGCGATGTCGAAGTTGAATAAGCGAACGAAAGTCGCATGCGCCAAGGAAACGTTGTCGGCACCGGAACGGAAGTGACCAATTAGAGTTGCCTTACATATACCACTACAACGGATATATGTGTACATAGTGTGCCTCAACTGTATTGTTCTGCGTTCTGTGTGTGGGAGCGTGAGTTTGGGTCGTGCTCGCCACTCGCTGTACAGCGAGGATGCCGCTCTGTTATAGCCTCACGCGGAAGAGTAGCCACTTAACAGTGCTATGTTAACCGAGGATGCTGCGCTGTTATACAGTGGCGTGCAAGTGTAGCTCTTAACAGTGCTCTGTTAGGAGTGGATTGTACGAAATTATTATATTTCGAGCTTAAAGCAATGCTAAATAGCAGTAATTGTTGTAGTACATTTAATTAAAAGTAATATTTATATATTTAACATGATTTATTTATGATAAATATACATTTATTATTATAAATTATTCTTTTGTAGTGTTATTTATTATAAATATACAATATTTGTTGTTACTGTTGCGCCTGCCGCTGTTAAAACTTTCTTCTTGTGCAACGGCATTGAATCGGCTCTCCCACATGCTCTTGTTCTCTCCGTTTCGTGTCTGCCGCTCTCAAACATATGTATTTCGAAAGAAATTGTTGGCTTTCCACATATGTATTTCGAAAACGCTCGTGCACAGTGCTCACAATATCTTATTTTAAATTACAATTCAGAGAGCAGTTGGCAACGGACTATCGTCTATGTCGGATGCAAAATTATACGCGTGGACAAACAGTGCAGCATTAAACACAGATACACACACACACACACACATATGTACATACATCTGTGCGCATATGGAGTCCAAAGTTAACGCTTTTGAGACGCCTCCAAGTGGCATTCTGTGTTGAGTCGCGTGTGGCTAGAGTTCACTCTGCTTGTTACATTTGACCCGAATTCTTTTGGGGTTTCGAAAAGTCGTCTAATTTCGCAGAGGTTTTTATATAAGAGGGAGAGGCGAGCATTATTTTTAATTTAGCTGTTGATATTATGCATAAAGCGGAAAATCAAAGAGAAAGCAAACATCAAAACGGAACACCGAAGCCGGGAGAGTGATCCGAGTGATACGAGTGAGTGACTGTAGCCGATCGCTGTGCGGCCTGGTTCTAACATCTTTGTCGGGGCGAGAGATTTCAAAAATTCCGTATTGTGTGTGGATACATATCTGAATAGATAGATATATATGTACATTCATACAGAGAGCGTGTTCGGAGATTATTGTTTGGTGAATTTCCACTACCACAATTGCAGCAGCAGCCGCCGTCCGTCCCACCCAATCACGAAACGTTTACAAAGTGCTTGGCCTGGCCCCGGCCCTACCAGACCCCACCAGGAAGTAAAACGCAGCAAACTGAACAATTCATCTCGTAATTTACTTTGTCTGCTGCAGACAGAAAGAACGGACAACGGACAGCGGACAACGCACATAAATACGGACATAAAGGAGGAATTCAACAGATATATAAATGGTTTCCTTTGGCGCTGTTGCTGCTGCTGCTGTCGCTATAAATATTTACAAAATGTAAATATGTATCTAGATACATGAGAGTACATGCCACTGCAGATACACATACATATGTACATAAATATATGCGTGCACGGGAACCGCTTTTATTGTCTTTTTGTGGCTAAAGCTTCGAAACGCTAGAATTCAAATTGAATCACGAATCAGGAATAATCCAAGCAGCAAGTGATGTGAACTGAGAACACTTCTAGCTTGAGACAATTTTTTCAAACCAAAAAGAGCTCAAAATGTCAAAGAAACCACGCGGAAATATACACAAGATCAGGGAATTTGAGTTGGAGAAGGTAAGCGACAAGTTGTGCATAATTATTGTTGAATTTTAGCAATTACATTCACAACAATTTATTAAATATTTATCCATGCGATTCGCGAACATCTTATTAGCCATTTGTGATGTATTTTCAAATAAACAAACAGACATTGAAAGGTATTAAGAGTTCGACTTGGCCCAGTTCGTCGTTGATCGTTATGATTGGCCAATTGCCAATAATCTCTTACCCGGGAAATCGTCTACAACACAACAGGGAAAATGCCATGTTAACGATTAGATTTCTGATCGTTAAAACACAAACAGCAATAGCCATCGCATCGTAGCGTCTCGCTAGGGAATACAGTAATGTTTAATGGCTCTAGGTATGGCAAATATTCTTATGTATAGTGAGTTGAGTCTGAAAATTGACATGGAGATGTTTGCGTTGCTGATTCAGTTGCATTTCAGAGTATTCCCATCATTGATAAATGCCAGATTCCTGCAGTAATTCCCAGAAGAATCGAGGCAGCGTCTAGCCTCAGTTCAGCCAATTTTCAACATAACTTTTCTCGGAATATAATCTATTTGAACTTCTATGTATTTGTATGTATAGATCCAGCTTGTGGATGAGTTTGATATAATACAAATTGTGGGTGAAGGATGGTTCGGCAAGATATTGCTGGTGGAGCATCGCGGATCCCAGACAGAAATGGTACTCAAGGCAGTGCCCAAGCCATATGTGACGCTGCGTGACTTTTATCGAGAGTTTCACTACGGACTCCATTTGGGCGTGCATCGGCATATTGTGACCACCTATGATGTGGCATTCGAGACGGCTGGATTTTATGTATTCACACAGGAATATGCGCCGCTAGGTATGAGACCATTTAATGATCAAAATGAGGTTGTACTCCCATGCTCCGCTTTTAGGGGATCTCACATCGAATGTGACGGATACGGGCGTGGGCGAGGTGTACAGCAAGCGCGTGGCCAAGCAGTTGGCCTCCGCCATAGACTACATGCATTCAAAGTGAGTGTCCGCCCATCCGACGAGTATTCCGCTGATCTTTACATGAATTTCCCCCACAGAGACATAGTGCATCGGGACATCAAGTTGGATAATGTGCTCATCTATCGAGCGGACTTTCAACGCATTAAATTGTGCGATTTCGGAGAGTCCTTTCCGACGGGCGCCAGCGTGGAGCGGCGGAACGAGTGGCTGCCCTACAGTCCCCCAGAAGTATTAGAAATCAAGCCAGAAGGCAGCTACAAGTGAGTAAGAACCCAAGAAGCAAGATCCCTCATGACTGATAGTTATCTGCCTTTTAGAGCCGATCCCAGCCATGATGTTTGGCAGTTTGGAATTGTGATCTTTGTGTGCCTCACCGGGTGTCTGCCCTGGCAGAAGGCTGCCTCGGATGATCCCCGCTATGTGCGTTACTTGGCCTGGCAGGGTGGCCTCATGATGATGCCACTGCGACGCACGCCTCGACTCTTCAAGCTGCTCACCTCCAATGCCCAGCGCATGTTCAAGCGGTTCTTTGCGCGAATGTCGAACCGCCCCAAGAGTCTGGCGGATGTCACAAAGTTCCTCGACGATCGCTGGCTGGCCAAGACGGCCAAGAAGGACATGGCCGAGTACGAGACGGATGAGCTGTGCCCATCCATGTACTCCTTTCACAGCAGCCCCGATGAGAAGAATCGACTGCTCTACACATTGGCCGACTGTGGGCTTGAGACGAATGTCGATCGTCAGCAGAAGAAGAATCGCATCAAAGACTGGATAGAGTCGTCCATCATCACCGAAGAGGATGAGGTATAATATTTCTCACATTCTTACCAGACAGTGACTGACTCTGCTGACTCCTTGCAGGAGGAGAACGAAGAGACAAACTCGGCATCGCCCTCGTCTTCAGTCTCCCGCGAGCCGCTGCCTGGACACATCTCCTCGCTGCGCAAACAGACGCAGGAACCGAGCCCCAAGGAGGTCAAGAGCACCTTGAAGGACGCCACACAGAAGCACTTTGATCCGCGCACGGGGGCCCTGCAGCAGGGTCCCAGCGAAATGGGCCAAGTGGCCATGCAATATTCCAAGTCCGCCAGTCCCTCCAACTACAGCACGGCCTCCACGCTGAACAATGCCGACAGCCTGCTGACACTGGGCTCCCGGCAGGATCTGCTGGCCAGCAACCTGACCATGTACACCTCCATGGAGACGGAGCTGAATCGATTAGGTGAGGCTGATCCGAGAATACCGCGCAGCGATGGCTTCCTCAACCGCACGCAGAGCAGCGGCCTCCTGCTAACCACATTCGATGTGAACGCGTCGCCGGCCCTTCCGGCGAATAACAATCGTCCACCTCCCGCAGCCAAGAACTCCATCGCCGTTGGCACACGCAGCTCGAGCAGGAGCATTCTAAAGTCCTCCATTGCCACCGCTGCTTATCCCGCTTTCGGCAGCAATAACCAGAGCAGTAGCCTGCAGCAGCTGACCCAGCATTTCCAGACCACCGCCTATGCCCCCAATGACAGTTCCTTCTTCAGGCGATGACTCCCGCTGGCTCCTTGCCCTACTAATCGCCAATCCAAATCATCCTTGCCAAACTTTCAGTGCCAGTTTTCTAATGTTCCATATGCTTCTCAAGTTAAAGACAGTGCCTACGGCTCGGCCGACGTGAGTGAGATGAGCAGGAGCCCCAGAAATCCTCAGCATCAGCGTTTGGACAGCGACACCCACATGAAAGACACGGCCTACGATCGCGCTGCCATCACCAGCAGCAGCAGCAACAACATTGCCCGACGCCTGCGCAGATAGCGGTGATCCGGCTGGATGTCAATCCGTGCACAAACATATAGCAACTGATTAACATGTTCCAATAAATAGATAATGTACATTTCTTAAGGTTTCACATGTGCTCATTATTTACTTTCGGGATTCGCGCAGCCCAGAGAAACGCGACAAGTGTTCTTATAAAAGTACGTTTCCTTTATTTCGCATGATAATCCAATAGAAAGCAGCCAAACCAACACGGGCAGCGCTTACTTGAGAGGAATAAAACGGGAGCTGTGGGTGGCACCAATACCGGGCCTACCGTGCTTGACGGGCTTGTAGGTCAGTGCGAATTCGCCCAAATAGTGGCCGATCATCTCAGGCTTAACCTCAACCTGCGAATATAAAACACATTTCCATTATACTGTCTCTGGAAAGACGTTAACACTGGTGCTTACCTGGCCGAAGTCCTTGCCGTTGTACACGCCAATGATGGAGCCGGTCATCTCGGGCACAATGATCATGTTCCTCAAGTGGGTCTTGACGATCTCGGGCTTCTCATTTGGTGGCGCCTCCTTCTTGGCCTTGCGCAGCTTCTTGATCAGAGCCATTGGCTTGCGCTTCAGACCACGGGAGAAACGCCTGCGGGCACGGCTGTGCATCAGCTCCACCAGCTGGTTGCTGCACAATGAAAATGAAAATCAACATTAGTTGCCGCACATTCATTTGCAGTCGCGGGAATACTCACTTGGGCATGTCCAACAGTTGGTCCAAGTCCACACCGCGGTAGGTGAACTTCTTGAAGGTACGCTTCTTCTTAAGAGTGTCATCGACTTGCTGTTTGTTGGAATGTACGAGAGAATAAACACAAAAGTTAGTTCTGCTCCATTTTGTGACCAAGTTCAACCGAAAAATGCCAAAATAATATTAGCAGCCATGCGCGGAATATGCCATCAAACGTATAGCACATAATTTAAGTCATTTCATGCACGGATGGCTAATATTTATTTGGATTTATTCGCAAAAATTTACATCGGCCATCTTGACGCTGAGGTTTTTTAGAACGGAAAGAGGGAAACAATGGGACCGCGGATTTCTAGATAAAATATACCGACTAAAACTCAGAAATATACCGGAATATACCAGATAATATCCGAAATATACCAAAGTAAACGTTCCCACTGTCAAATTATACCGATGATAAATAGAAAGTGCTGTAAGGCGCAGTGCGCTTACAAGTACATCTGGTGCTGTTATGCGCGTGCCAGAACTCTTTTCGAAATATCGCACATCTCTATAAACAAAAACAATGATGACGTTACCAAAAATTTGTTTTAAAACCCCAAAGCGGCCGTAAAAATGCTCAGAACCGCTACTAAGCTTTCGCTACTATGACCGCCTGTGTATTAATAACCAATGTTTGCTGAACAACACGCACTTGCTCAATGTAAGCACCTCCGCCTCTACCATCGTCGCCGCCGTCGTCGCGACCACTCCGCGGAATTATTTTGTTTATAGTTTGTTTTGTTTTCTCAAGTGCACTTACTCTACCTATATCTAATATTTGGTACGAAGCCACAACTGTTATCTGATTGTCGCACGGGGTATGTGGCCATCAATAGAACCCCTCCACCAGCTCCCACGCTATGTGTGGGTGTATCCAACTAACTGACAATTGCTTTGTACTTTTTGGTTTTTTTGCATACGCAGTCAGAGCCGCGGCCATAAAACCAGTTCTAGAAATAGGCCAACGCAGCGCGGCTCGGTTGGTTGCCTCACCTCATCATCATCAGCAAGGGGAAAGTGACGCGCCCCCGGGTGAACCCAAGGGCTCCATAAAATGTTATCACACTCGGCACACGTTATGACGCTGGCCAACAGCATCATTGGTGTTGGCATATTGGCAATGCCCTTCTGCTTCCAGAAGTGCGGCATTGTGCTCTCCATCATTCTCCTGGTGCTGAGCAATGTGATAACCCGAGTCTGCTGCCACTACTTGATAAAAACCTCACTGCTGACACGTCGCAAGAGTTTCGAGCTGCTCGGCCTTCACGCTTTCGGCGCTTCCGGCAAACTGCTGGTGGAGCTGTGCATCATCGGGTATCTAATTGGGACGTGCATCACCTACTTTGTGGTTGTCGGAGATCTCGGCCCCCAGATAATTGCCAAACTCTTCACTCTCAATGTGGCGGAGCACATGCACCTGCGATCTCTGGTCATGGTAGTGGTGACCGTGGTCTGTATAGTGCCACTGGGCATGCTGCGGAACGTGGATAGCTTGTCGGCCGTGTGCACCGCTTCCATTGGCTTCTACGTGTGCCTCATGCTGAAGATCGTGCTCGAGGCGGAGAGCCACATCTCATCGAATGACTGGACGGAAAAGGTAGTCTACTGGGAGCCGGCTGGCGTGCTCCAATGCCTGCCTATTTTCAGCATGGCGCTATCCTGCCAAATGTACGTAAATTTCTGCATATTTTCTTATGATTATCGTTAAATATTTGTTCAATCGGTAGGCAGCTGTTTGAGGTCTTCGAGAGTATCAATAACCAGAGTCTCGACAAGCTGAACGGCATCGTTCGCAACGCCACTTGGATCTGTACGCTTGTTTACATAGCCGTCGGCTTCTTTGGCTATGTGGCCTTTTGCACTCACACCTTTTCGGGTAATGACTCTCAGTCTCTTTTGTAAATATCTCGACTAATTCTCGCCCCATTTGCAGGCAACATCTTGGTGAACTTGTCGACATCCTTTGGCAGCGACATTATTAAAATTGGCTTCGTGCTTTCGATTGCATTCAGCTTTCCCTTGGTTATATTTCCGTGCAGGGCCAGCATCTACTCGCTGCTCTATCGTAAAGTAAATTCGTAAGCTCATATTTGGTTCGGCAGATCAATCATTTATCATTATTGTCTTTGCAGGGACACACGGAGAGCAGCAGCTACATACCGGAACAACGTTTTCGCCTCATTACAATCTTTATCGTTGTCTTCTCGCTGTGCGTGGCGCTGGTTATACCCTCCGTTGAGCTGATTATTGGACTGGTTGGCTCCACCATTGGCGTGGCCATTTGCATAATGTTTCCTGCTTCCAGCTTCCGCAAAATCATCAAAAAAGAGTCGATGGAGCGCACGCTGGCGCAGTTTATCTTTGTAAGCGGCTTCCTGCTGATGATTTTGGGCACCTATGCGAACTTGAATGCCATTGATGAGAAAAGCTCTGGCCCAGAGCTAAATGTCGTTCAAATGGTGACGCCCCTAGCCCCGCTACCCATTGGCGAGTTTCCAAAGCATTTGGCCAAAGAGCCCACCGAGCATGAGAAGAGTTTGTTGATGGAAAAGCTGGAAGCACAGAAGCCGGATCCAAGCTTAAACAACATCGGAGAGAATATACTCGAGAAGCCAAAGGCTGTCCTTAGCTCTTCCTCGGACAACCCACCGATGCCTCCACTGCCCATTGATGAGGCTCACGAAAATGAAGAACCCGTTTTGACTGATGACAAAAAGTCTCCGGAAGTAAAAGTATTGAACCCACCCGACCCAAAGCCAGATAATAGTATTCCCAATACCTTGACAGCCGTCAAGCCCAAGGAAAGTCCTTCCCTTGTCGTTGCGGAGGCCAAAAAGGAGCCAACAAAGTTAGCAGCGAGTAACATGATAGACGGAGCCGCCATCAAGAAGGAGGAGGATGTTGCGGCAGAGGAGCAAAAGGAAAGCAAAGCCAATGCCGACGAACTGCTAAAAACGCAGAATGAACTGAAGGAGACCAAGAAACTGCTGGAACGTACAGTCGATGAGCTGAACGAGGAGCTGGCCAAACAGAAGCCCCTCGGCCAGCCATCCCCTGATGTAGTGGAAGTGCCCGATGACTCCAAGATCATTAAGAAATTGCAGAAAGATGAAATTATTGCCAAGGAACTCAAGCCGAAGGCTTCTTTAATTGAAATTCTTACGGAAAATACTCATCTGCGTGAGGAGAAGGAAGCGCATGCTGGTGTCTACGAGCCGCTCTCTTACAAGACGGGGGAACTGCTCAAGAACACCAGTGTCGACACAGCAGCCCTGATTAAACGATTGCCCATACCACTGGCGGTCATGCTGCTGAATGCGACTCAGCCAAAGGTAAACAATACCTCAGCCAACGACTCTGCTCTGCACAAGCCCAACATTGAGGATAACGTGGAGGCCATACGCCGCGAGCTCCTAAACCTGAGGACTCCCAGCGGGCCGACTGATCAGCCTTTGAACAGAACTAAGCGTGAGGTGGCCGACGGCGAGAACTGTCTCCGCCAGCCCAAGCTTAAAGAGTTGAACGGTAACCTGGCCGCCGCAAGCTTACATTTGCAATTGGAGAGCATAGGACGTGATCTCAAGTCTATCAAAGATGAAGATGAAGAGACCACCACCACAACCACAACTACTGTGAACGAATCCTACGAACACGGTCTCAACAGAACCCAAACCCCGCAGCACACGTAGCGTGCATTGTACAAGTTATAGAAAGCTTTATGTACATAAACTTTAAATATATTTATTTAGTTTATAAGGGAAAAAAGTGTAGAACCAGCAGAAGCCTTAAAGTAATATAAAATACAAATAGAAAGAACAGAGATTGCTTTTCTAAATTCATCAGTTAGTAGCTGCCTTAAATTTGTACACAGAAATAGCCCAAAATTTGACCCACCAAAATGTCTATATTCTTGGATGTTGTCCAGCGAATAGTGTTGCAAAAAGCCTATGAACTGACACAGTGTGCCGCATACCGAGTGCTTGGAAAATGCATCAAGGTGAGTGGATAGCAGTCATCCCTAAATGGATTAAATTGATGCGAGGAAAACAACTTTCAGCTGGATGAAGAGACTTGCAAGCGTACGGCAACGACTTCAGATGGAATACCAATCAAAAGCCCAGTGCCTGAGCCACCAGCAAAGCCCAAGGCAGAACCTCCTGCCTTGATGGCTAAGCCAAAGCCAGAGACTGTCTGGCAGTGCTATGATGAACGCGACATGCCGCGCAACAACAGCGGCCTCATCGATCCGCCTCAGATGTCCTGCATGCGAGTGTGCCGCGACAGCTACTTCTCCTAACGCGTGCAAGTAAAATCAAAGACCATCCATAGATTCAAAACAATTGCAACTTTAATAGAATGGAGATATAGAAAGAACGATCCACAGTACTCCGGATCTGGCAACGAATCTCGCGACATTCTCAATTCTCGCGTATATAATTATCAAATGTAACACTAATAACAGTTTTTGGTAGCAACTAGCAGCTTGAGTAATGAGTATGCATATGTGCTTGCAGGTAGAGAGGTGTAGCGGTAGGAGAGCTCTAGGCCACGTCCGCTCCTAGCGAGTGCAGATCGTGGAGAACCTCGAGTATGGCGGCCACGCTCCAGGCCTGGGTGCGGCACGAGTCGCCGCAGTAGGCGCCATTGTCGTTGGTCAGCTCGGGCAGGCCACGCCAGTGTGAGGTTTGCATCTCTCGCAGATGGGCACGCAGAATGGCCCAGGTCTCGGCAATGGTCTCGTCCAGGTGGCCGCACTTTTTGGCAAAGATCAGACGCGCACGCAGATAGAAGCCAATGGGCCATATCCACTCGGGTCCCTGGTGATAGTTGGAGCCATGGGCCACGGTGCAGTCCGTGGAGTCGTTGGAGTTGTCATAGTTGGCCCTGTAGTTCCAGTCCTCCGGATCCAGTGTCTTCATGCCCAGCGGTCCCAGCAGATACTGCTTGGCCAGCTCCAGGGCACGCCAGGCGTTCTGCGGATTGCACAGCTCCGAGGCGACGGTCAGAGTGATGGGGAAGTTGCAACGCAGCTGATAGTCCGTCCAGCTCTGGGTGGCGCCGTAGCTGTCCTTATAGATGAACCGCTTGTTGGCCAGGGAGCACGTCTCCGACTCTGGCACAAAGAAGTGCCGATCGAAGTTTTCCTTGATGCGGTCGGCCCACTCCTTGTAGCTCCACCTTGTCACCTCGCCCGACGGCCCCTTGCGCTCCACACCCGTGTACGGAATGGCCTCCTTTTCGGCCAGGCCCTGCATGAAGCGCAGCACGGAATATTGGAGGCCAACCAGCTCCACAGCTGAACCATCACGCGGTGTGCTTGGCCGCCCCTTGTTGCCGGCCTTCTGGGACGAGCCCATCTTGTCCATCCACGTGCCGGCGTTAAAGTTGTTGCCGCCGAAAACAAAGCCAGTTTCTGGATGCACACCAATGTGATTGTTGAATCCCTGGTCCACCATGTGCTCATCTATCTCACGGCCAGCGTTGCGTTCGCGATACTGCAGGCCCTGGAAGTGCACCTGCAGCGCCTCCTGCATCACATCGAACAGCAGCTGATCGAATGCGCCTGGGGCATGTGCCTCTGCATCGTCGTAGGGGAAGAGACGCGACACCTTGTCCTTTAGTATCTCGCTGCCCTTGGGTGCCTCCTCCACGTACTGCCTGATGCAGTACATCCACCACCAGACCGCATCCCGACAGTTGTAGCGTGGCTTGCTGCCGCTGTCCAAGAGATTGGGTATGAGGCCATGCCTCAGGGTTTGCCCGAATCCAATAATGATGTAACGAGCTTCATTGAACCGGCCAGTGAGGAACATCGATCCCCGCAGGGCAATAAAGGTGTCACGACCCCAGCAGCGCATGTAACCTGTGGAGATTGTAGGGAGGATGTGAGATCATCCATGGGAACAAACGGAATCAAGACTTACCCGTGGAGAAGTGCGGCAAGCCCGCAGAGAGTGTAACGCATTGTTTCGGTGGTTTTGGTGGATTGATGGCATGACTGAAGCCTGGCAAATTGGCCGACTTGCATACGGAAAGGAACTGCAATGTGGAGAGCGCCAAAGACTGAGTGAAGCTGTGGCCATTCTTTATAAAACTGTGGAGAGAATATAAAGAAATAATTACATGAGACACAACTCGAGAGTCGGATAAACATACTCTGGCATCAGTTCGTTGACCTGATTGAGGAGCACGTTGTAGACCCCGCTGACAATGGCATCAAAGTAGCAGGGAATGAGGTAGCGTGGTATATTCTTCAGAGGTTCGAAGGCGCCTTTCAACCAAACGGAGAGCGGCTTCAAGTCCTCGAAGTTGGTCAGGCGATCGGCCATGTAATCTAGGGGGGAAATCAAAGCATCAATCAAACCGAAGCGCATTCGTTTATAGTCTATAGTTACCCATCATCCAGTTGCCGTCGCGTAAGTTATTGCACAGTGGATGGCCCAGATCGTTGTGTGGCGAAATCTCTGTCAGCAGGGACACAAAGCCCTGGAGGCCGCAGTAGACAATGCGCCCAAAGTTGGGTATATCGTAGGCGGAGCCACCTTTGCCCTGGTCCCGTTCTTCGTCGTCACATTGGAAGAGCGCAGCGCTGAGCGCCACCAGATCCAGTTTGGACACAATCGCCTGCAGCTCGGACCATTCATTGCCCGAACCCAGGCGCAGGGCATTCGTCAGCTTCTGCAGCTTGCCGAAGCTGATGCGGGGTCCGGGATGCATGGAGACACGAATGGCCACCACGGTGCCCGGCCGAAGGTTGACAAAGTTCAGCTCCGTGTTGTTGCCATCCACAATGGCATGGGTCTGAAAGACAGTCGACTTGCTGAGCGGTATGTGCTCCTGCAGACTCAATTCGAACTGCGTGAAACCGTTCAGGACATTGGGATCCTTCTTAAACGGAGCCGGACGATCGAAGGGCTTGTCGCTCTTCATGGTCAGGCTTGCCTCCAGTATAATCTCGTCCAGCACGCCGTCAAAGCGCAACGGACGGAGGCCAGTGGGTCCGGCATTGGGATTCGGATATCCAAAGGCCGTGTGGGCCACCAGAATGACCGACTGATGGGTAACTGGAGAATGCCGAGTGACGGCCACCACATTGTCATCCATTTGGTCCACATACACCTGGCTGAAGCCCTCCTCTGCCAGCTGTCCGTGCAGCAGATTCAGCGCTCGCTTCGCTCCCATAATGCCTGACTTGGAGTCGACGCCCTTGCCCCATTCCTGGTATGCACGCTGCTCATCCACGACATGGATCTGCAATAAATTTGATTAATTTTTATAGTTCACTGATACTTCGCCCCGATTTGGACTCACATGATGGGGCACCAGTTCGTCGTAGCCACGATTGCTGCCGGTGGCACAGCAGGCCATGGAGACCAGAGCAGACGAGGGCAACAGATCGTAGACGGAGCGCTTCTCCACGGCCGATGGATTGTCATGGGTGAGGTCCATGAACAGAGCGTGCGCCACGCTCGATGCCTCGTGGCGCGTGGGATTCGGGTAGAAGCCACCGACAGGCGCACCGCCATAGCGATAGACCAGGCGTCCCTGCTCGTGCGAGTCCCAGGCAGAGAGAGCCTCGCGAATCAGTGAGGTGATGCCCAGACGATTGACGAACACATTGTCGGTGCCATCGGAGTTGGTGAACAGCTCGGCCACCACATAGAGCTCGGGATTGATCTTTCGCGCCGCGTCCAGCAGGTACTCGGCCACGTGCAGCGGCGTCGAGTGGCAGTTATCCAGCCGCACTCCATCAAAGATGCGAGCCGTCGTCTCCACGTACTCGGTCATGTGCTTCCACAGGTAGGGGCTGTCCTCTGGCCGCTTGCCAAAGCGCAGCTTCACGCTGTCGCCCCAGGCAATGAGCTCTCGCTTGAGGTACACATTGGCACGTCCCGGCTGCTCCTCGGCAAAGTCACGCAGCGGATCGCTGGAGCCCATGACCCAGCCGTTGTGGGCCATGAAGAACTCCCCAGCCTTGGTGTACATGTCGGCCTCGATCTCAAGCATCGTCTTGCCCAGGGTGCCCGTGTGGGTGAAGTATGTCATGAAGACCGAGTACTTCTCGGATATCTCACGCACTCTGGGCCCGTCGCCCTGCACGCGTTCGTAGCGTATGCCGGCCAGGCAGTTGTCGATGGCGTAGTTCAAATAGCCTTGGATCTCGGCACGCACGCGATCGTTGAGGCCGTCCAGGTGGTGGCGCAGCGTCTCGGCGCACTTACGGAAGCGTGACTCCTCATCGAAACAGTCGCCATGGAAAGCATTAAAGATCTCCAGCGCCAGCTCGAAATTGATGGTGCTACCCAAGCGTCGATATGCCGGGTCCTGTATCAGTTGTATCTCCTGGAAGCGCGACTCGTTGGCCACGTTCTTGGGCGGCTCGCGAGTGCGCACCTGAGCCATGAAGCTGTTCACATACTGCATCACGTCGCACTGATACAGCTCGTGTATATTGACCTTGGATAGATAGGCGTTATGCAACTGGTACTTTAAAGCTTCCAAATGGCACTCCTGATCGATAATCAGAGGCACGCCCACATGCTCCAGGCTGCCGGCAGCAATATCAGCTCCGCACTGTGCCAGGGCAGCGTCCAGCAGGAAGGCTGGTCGCAGATACGGACACGTGGCGCACGAATAAGTGGCATCCGGATACTGGAGCAGCCATTCAGACTCGTTCGCCGTGTGATTGAGCACAATGTCGCAGATGGAGGCCACCTGAAACGGACAACAGCCCAGACTGAGTTGGACGTGAGGCACATTTAATGGTTAAACATTTGCTTACGCCCCACTCCTGGCGACACTTCTTGATGACCTTCTCCACGTCCTCGAAGGTAACCTTGTCGCCCTTCTTGCTGGCGAAGCCCGAGTTGACCTTCAGCTGATCGCGCAGCGAGTAGGCAGAGCGCGAGCCGCCCAACTCCTGAATGGGCGTAAAGTGAATCACATTGTAGCCGGCCTCCTTGGCCACGCGCAACTTTGGCTCCCAGCTGCTGAGCGGTCCCAGGAGTTTGGTCAGCACCGTCTGGCAGCGCACCGAATCCAACGGTATTGTCTTCTGTGCACCCGGCGGTCCCACATGGAGTGTCGGCTCCACCTGCACATAGAGTGCGCCATCGGCTCCTGCACTGCCAGTGTCTGCTCTGTAAATTAAAGATCATTACGAATGATTACCGAATGGGTGATGGATAGTCCATGGGCTTACCGCTCCAAATAGCGGAAGTAGAAGTGATACGTTCCGGACATGTTCAGCTGCAGCTGACTGTTGATATCTGTGTCCACCACATGAGCCTCCGGATGCATGACAGTCGTGATCTGTTTGCCATTCTTCAGCTGCCAGCCCAGCACACGGTAGTCGGTGCGCACGAACTTCTGACCCTCGGCGGGATAGTTGGTGTACAGAACGATCTTCTTGCCCAGCAACGAGGCGTCGGGGTGCACGGCCAGCTGGGAGCCACGCTTCAGGCGGTACAACACATGCTCCGCGTTCTGTCCTTCACTTATGGGTATGCTGTGCGTTTCCGTGTCTTTGCCCATGGTACTCATCTACGAGAATCAGGAATTAAATAGCTATTATACAATCTATTAATTAGGGCTTATCACACTCTACATAGTCGTGTATGTGTGCGAGTGTGTAAATTGTAATCGGTGACGCACACACAAAGGCAATTTGTTAAGACACCACCACAGTGCAAGTAGAATTTTGCAGTTGAATTCGGTTTGATTAGTCGAGACACACTTTTAGTAGTTGTAACTAACACACAAGGAGCACACGGCACAGACTGCAGCATTGATGGGAGCATGTCGTTCCTTTTATTTGGTCTATGCTCGTTTCCAGCAGAGCACCCAAGATTAGGTGGAACACACATGTAATTATACATAGGATGTACACGGGGTATAGAGTGAGTGCAGCAGCCAATTACAATCCCAATTAGTGATAATACCTCACTGTGGCGGGTGGTTCGATTTGATACGTGCTCACTGCCTGCATTTCCCATTGCACTAATCGCGACGACTGATTCTGGTTTTGTTTTCGTTGTTTTGCCGGCGACAACTGTTGCTTCATTCTGCTGCTGTCGCTGTCGCTGCTGTACTTTCTCTTCTTCTTTTTCTCGTTCTCCAGCCGGTTCTTCTTCTTCTTCTCCTCTTTGATGTAACAGAGCAGCATTCGCTCGATGTACCTTTTCAATGGCTTGCACATCCACTAAATCGATGAGCCAGCGAAAGACCTGATAACGCATCAAGATCTGAAGCAGTGCGTACACATAGCGCAAGACGCTCCTGTAGAAACCTTCTAACACCATTGCACCAGCTGCTGCTGCAAATTGAATGTTTTTTGGGCAAATAATTTCTTTAATCGTGTTCGACGCTGCCGGCTGCCGTCTGCGCTACTGAAGCGTCAAGGAATGTTAGCAACGACACCGATGTGTAATCTCGAATCAAGCATGAAGAAAACATTTCATAATCACGATCTGCATTTCTAGTATACAACACTGTGGGGTGGGGCGTCAGCGGAGGAGGGAAGCCAATTCTCAATTCCAAACCCTAAGCCCATGGGTGTGGATAGGGGTCGATTGGATGCATTGAATTCTTGACATGTGGCGCCTACGTGTTTGGGTGTTACTAAAGCTCAATTAAAGGCAGCCTTATCAACATTGAAATTGTATTAGCAGGTCAGGGAATAATTTTATTTTTAACTTAAACATGCATACACACACATATACACGAGTCTACATATAGGTGAGAGCTGTGTGCATATGCAGGTTTGTATGTGGGTCAAGGAATTCAAGTGCACACATTTGCCGGTAGATGGCATTATTCTATTTATTTGGATCTTTAATCAGATCAGATTAAACAAGTACGAGTTTAACAGCACAGCACTCTCTCTCTCTTTCTCTGCTAAATTATTCATCTGGCGAGAACCTGCTCTAGACACTATTATAAGCATTCACACATGCGAAATTTGTTTATCTACAATATCAATTTTATTATTTTACTCTATTCCCCGCTTGAATTTGATTTAGCACAGAATTTGTATTTAAACACGTTGTTACTTTTGTGCGTGCGTTGTAATGAAACTACGGACAGAACTTTTACATTACCAGCAAAAAGTCTTCAGCAATTTGCTCGCTCTGATTCGATTTTATTAGGCTCAAGGTGACCTTTATGGGAGAAAGATGAAAGAGATAGCAAGATAAACAAAAAACAGCTGGTCGTTATTGTTTACAGATATGCGCATGCACGTATGTGTGGGAGAGCATGTTATTATCAAAACACCAACTAAATCGATGATTATACACTTTTCGTGTATCAATACGAGTTAGCTAATCGGTGTCATTAAGTAACTATTGTATCAGAATGCATTTTATTTAAAATTTATCAAATTAGTTTGATTTTTAGTGTGCTAATATCGATAACATCGATAAGCCAACTGGCGCACCTTTTCTTCCACTCACCATACTAGAGATTGTCGACAATTTTGAAGGAATTTGAAAGTGCTTTTCACTTATTGAACTTATCGATACTATTTAAAGAGACTGGTTAACCCTACAAGTATTTGTATTGATAAACATAGTATGCCAAAAGTAAATAGTTCATAAAATGGAAGAACTGCTAAATGTTGAGATAAAAAGTGAAAGTAGGAGCCGGATGGACGACAACGCGAGTACCCCGCTCCAACAGCTCGACGAGAACGACGACACGCCGCTGCGCTATGATGTGAACGCTTGCCCAGACCCCCCCGGCTTTTCGGCCACTGGCAATGGGAATGGATGGGAAAGCGACCACGACGATGTGGGGATCCCATCCATTCCTCGTACTCCACGAAGTGACCTGACAGTGCCAAATAGTCCAACCATCGCCATCAAAGCAGAGCCGGAGATTCCAGTTGTCAAGACAGAACACGATACATCATTCCTGGACGTGCTATTCGATGATGTAGATAAGATGGGAGGCACCGCTACCTTCGATGGTATTCCAAGTGTTTTCAGCAAAAAGGAGGAAATTAACGACATGGACTTGGAACCGCCCCAAGCAGTTGTAAAGGTGGAGGAGCCTGAAGGTACAGAAAGCCTGGAAGAACTTGAAGCGATCCGCAGAACGCGTGAGAAGGAGTTGCAAGAGTTAGAAGATATACACGAGACAGAAGAAACGCATACGAAGAAGAAGAGGAAACGAAAGCGCAAGAGGGATTACTATGGAAACAATATTTCGATCGATGATAATCAAAAGGAAAATAATCACACCTCACGGGACAGTAAACGCACAAGCGAAGAACACCAAAGGGACCGTAAGCGCACAAGGGAAGAGCACCAAAGGCGCCAAAGCGAAGACTATCCTGAGGACAAAAAACGCCAGCGGGAAGAATATCCAAAGGACAATAGACGCCAGCGCGAAGACTATCTTGAGGACAATAAACGCCAGTGCGAAGATCATCCAACGACCAATAGACGGGATCGCGAAGACTATCCAAGGGACAAAAGACGCCACCACGAGGACATTCACAGGTACAAAATACGTCACCACGAGGATAACCAAAGAGATAAGCGCAAACGCGAGGATAATCAATGGGACAGTAGACGCGATTATGAAGCTAAATACAGCGACAATAGAGGCCCCCGTGAGCATAGTCAAAGGAGCAGTAAACGCCTAAGCGAGGAACCTGAAAGGCACAGTGGACGCCGAAGCGAGGAACATCAAAGGGACAATGAACGCACACGCGAAGATAACGAGACTGAATTTCGAGCCCATCGTGATGCCACGATAAGAGTAACTGCATCTAATGGCCTGCCGCGGATTGCAGTCATCAAATTGGAGCCGAGGGCCGCTGCGAATGCAGATTCGGATGAGGAGTGGATCTATGTTCGAGACGACGAGAGACAGATCAAAGTTGTGAATCCGGATAAGTTGTTCCAGCCAGAGCAGGGTAAGGCCGTTGCGGCGGCGGCAGTGAAACCAGAGCCAGAACCCGAGACGCTGACAAAACGAGAAAAGATCAACTTGGCCATAGGCCGTGCCAAGAAAGTGCTCGAGCTCTACAAGCGAAAGAAAACAAACGCCCAGGAAGACGAGTTCCTTATGGTGAACACCATACACAAAGTGCCCAAAAGCAACTGCTTTATGACACAAGAGGAGTTCGAGAATCCCTCGCCGATATGCAATAACCAAAATGTGATATATGAGTTCAATTCGACGCCAGGAACACAGATTGATTTGGCTAAATGGGGATTGGAAACTGTGCCCAATAGCACCAGGGATCTGCTTCGGCTGCTGTCCTACGATGTGGATCATCTGAAACAGGCTCGGCTCAAGGCACAGCCCAGCCAGCGCATTCTCAAGCTGAAACAGGAGCAGCTCTTCAATGCACCATCCGAAGCGGAGGAATGCGACCCAGCTTCCCTTCTAAGAACTACCTCAACCCAAACTGACCGCAGGACCCACACGGAAAGCGTTGGTACTCAGGTCAATCTACAGGACCAGATAACAGGGGTCTACTGGCATGATCCAGACTTTGACATGACCTTGTTGACGGCGGACCAAACAAATTTGACACTTAATCTTCAAAAGATCACTCGCACCCTGCCATCTCCCGCATTGGCAGAGAAAATCCTGATTGTGCTTCAATCTGTTCTGGATATACAGCGCGAATTTTACCAGCGCTATGGAGGAAATTAAGCAATGATTCTCATTTCATTTCATTCTTTGTATAATTCGTAATTCGTACATAGAGAAACCAAAAATATATATAGCATCGAAGTGCCTACTGTTACTGTATGCATTCCACATGCAGAATCTCTCATCAGTTTACAATTAATAAATACACATAAACGACACACAAATATAACAATAATTATTGCAAGCAATTTGTCTTTTGCTAGGAGTACATCTAATTTTGGGGAACCACAACACTCGAGTTCCAGCCAACTTCAATTAGTAGTTATTAGCTAGTTAGTTAGTTAGCTTATTTAAGACTGTCCGTAAACCTAAATTGGATGCCATTAGGCGGCTATTATCAGATTGTATCATTTGCGCGCTGTAAACACGAACGGTGCCGCTTCATCCTCCTCTTGTTGCTCCAGCAGTGTGGTCCGTATCGTAGTCCTGTGCTCTTGCGCCTCCACATCGTCATAGTCCACTGAGGAGGAGCGTAACAGCTGAAACTGTGAGTTGGATTCGTTCCTGGTGATGATCAACGATGCAGGTCGGGGTCCTTAAATGCAATATTAATTGGATTATAAGTTGGAAACTTTTATTTTATCGATTAAACTATTACCTGCTGGTGGCTTTGTGGTTAGGCGCACCTTGCTTCCAGCTCCCTCGGAGATATATTCAACATTCGTTGCAGACTTGACATTGTTGTTGTTATTATTGCTCGTCGATTGTTGAATCGATACGCGCTTGTCACCCTTGACACTGCCCTGCTGCTTCAGTATGGAATCCCGACCCGATGGCTGCACCTGCGGCTGCTGTTGTTGATGTTGCTGCTGATGCGTGTACATGGCCGAGGCTGAGGTTAGCAATGCAGTCGTCATTGCAGGCCCACAGCCAGTGGGTGTGTCATGCTCTAAAAGATCATAGATCGGATAGGGTAAGGTAAGGTGGTTTATCAAGGGGGATAATCAGGGATCCACTGCAGAACCACATAACCATTTTAAGAAGTATTTTGCAACATCGAACATCGAACTGAACAGAGAGGTTTAGAGGCGGTAAATAAACACACACACAAATACGTAGAGAATGGGTAAAGCTGAATAAAATGCAAGTGGTAGAGAGTTGTTCATAAGATTATCATTTATTTGATCCTTTCGCTGGGTGGGTGTCTCCGTGGGGGTAGACTTAGTTGTGTCTTAGTTCGGGTTAGTTATTAGTTGATTGTTCTTGTGGTAAGGGTGTGGAAGGGTGTGTGTGTGTGTGTGTGGGTTTGCTTGTTCACAATTTTAAATGTCTTTGGCCCAATGTTTAAACAAAGTAAACTAATTGTGTTCGTATATAACAATTGGAATGAATTAGTAATCGTCGCACAATGTCAAATTTTAGTACTTTAGATAGATAAATAGATAATACTGTCCAAATTGTAGAAAGCCAAGCCAAAGTAAAAGTAAAAGTTAGTCAAACAAATGCTTAAACGAATGTTAACTAGATGATAAATGGTTTTTGGTCTGTTCTGCTTTGGTCTCTCACAGGATTCATTGACATTTGGTCCAATCTTAAAATGGTTTTCCCATTGTCAGACTATTAGTTAAGTTAGTTAAGTTGCAGTTATCAGACGAATGGAAGTGGCTGGTTCTCACAGCTTTGTATCGTCGTAATGCTGCTCCCCCGAGGAGCCATTTGGTATGACCACCACCAGGGGCAGGGGCATAGAGCTGGGCTCATTCAGCGTTAGCCGCTCGCTGCTAATGGAGATTTGTCGTGTCGCAGAACGATGCATCTCATAGATACCGCCACCAACAGAGTCAACATGCATTAGATCGAAGGTGCTACTGCAATACTCGTTACCGTTCCCAGCGCCCACCATACCGCCGAGACTCTGGAGGGAATGGGAGCTGGCGCTGCGATTGTAATCAGCATGCAAATACGAGCCCGGCACCGCGTTCGTGTTGTTGTTGTTGTTCTGACTCTTGGCATGGAGCTGCAGGATGCTGGTCAGCTTCAGCTCGTCGGAGGGCGAGCCGAACTCGGAGGATTCGCGTATGGGTGCCAATTGCAGTTGTGAGGCTGTAGCTAACATCTCACCTGTGGGACTGGGTCGCTCACTGCTGGCCACGTCCTCGTAAGCCTCCTCATTAAGCGTTTGCAAAGTGCCGCAAATCATTTGCTCCTCCAGCGTGACCTGTGAACAAGCAACAAGTGGCATTAGTGGACGGAGTACAGCAGCCGTTTGAGTTGGGGAGTGTCATGGAGGCAAGCTTTGGTTGGAATTTTGAATCTGTTTGAGTCTGTTGTTGTGTCTGCTTTACCTGGAGATACTCGTAGTCGTGCACTTTCGACTGCATGTCGTTTTGGTTAGTTAGAGAATGGTCAGAATAAGAATAGATCAAAGCACATGAGTTAGAGCGAATCGTGGCACATCCATGATCGATCTTTAAAGATGCCCTGCAGCTGACACTTCTCTTACCTGCTTCTCCATGTGGCTGGCCGAGTTCTTGCGCGACAGCGACTCGCGTGGCGGCAACAAAGCATCTGTCACGTCCTTGATCATGGGCACACTCACTGGCGGAGCTTCCACAGCGGGTACTTGCGGCTGCGGGCGATTCTGTTTCCTCGGCTGTCGCTCGCATTCCCTCAGCGTTGTGATCAGCAGGCGAAACAGCTCCCAGTGGCCAAAACTCAGGCCCAAAACCTGCAAGAAAACAGCCATGAAAATACGCAAAGATTTGGAATTTGGAAGGGGCTCTGTCTACCGATTTGAGATCTGGCATATCGCAGTGCTTCAGCACACGTCCATTGATGGCATTATCACGGAGCACTGGCGACAGCTTTGGCATGGCAGGCTTCATATCATCAATGCGCTCCAGCAGGCTGATGACACCCTCCACTGTTAGGTCCGTGAGCCTCGTCTGCAGTATGTCCTCCTGTATACAATTGAAAGATTATTTCCATTCGAAGATCTCAATCCGCTAGAACACTCACGCCAAAGGAATCGCTGGGCGAGGCAATCAGCGGCGATACGGGCTCTGTGCTGGAGCTGAGGTTACGCGATCGCATCTCGTTGGGTACAAAATCATTCTGGAACATTTGATAAGGCGGATAGGGGTGTGGCTGTGGCGAAGGCACATACGTTGTCGGAGCCGGCTGTTGTCGCATTTGATTGTATACGCTCGGCCTGGTTTGGATTACAAGCGAGCCCTCGTCCTCAATCGTTTGCTGATCCTCTGTGGGTAGGAGTTAATTCACTTCATGGGGATTCATCTCACTGTGACTGCGTCACTTACCCTTTAGAACCTTCCTTAAATACGGATCCAAATTGATGGTAAAGGGAAGAAAGATGCGCAGATCCGCCACAAGTAAATCAGATTTGTGAAGCTGCAGGAAAGCATCCAGCTTCCGCTCATCCCTATCCAGTTCCAGAAGCGGTGCAGCCTCTCGTAAATACCCAAGCTTGGGACGAAGTCTACAAAAAGAGAGAGAGAAATGTAAGTAAGCGAAGAAGTAACCTTGGAGTAACTCTCACTTTTCGTATACGCTCTGCAGGGAGACATTCTCATCCGCATTGGTGTCCATGAACTGGTCGTGATGGAGCACTATCATGCTGGCCCTCAGGGGCCACTGTTCCGTCAGGTTGATCCACGAGCTGAGGCGGTACCAGCTAAAGTCAATCTGGAAGGCCTTCAGCAGGCGCACCGTAATGTAGATGACGTTCATCAGACGCCTTATGCTGCGCGGATTCACATCACTGAAGTAGTCATCGGTGAGCACAATCCGTGAGAGATCGAGCACACCCTGAGGATTCTGGCCCAGGCGATGCAGATTGGATCCCGTCGAGCTGGCCACCGACTCGGAGAGACGCAGCTTCTTGCCAGCACCGCCTGCCCTTGCCGTGCTACGCAGCTTCTCCTGGCTGGAAATGATCTCCGATGCATTTGACAAACGTCGCGCGGACACCGAGTGTCCCAGCGTGGGTCCATCTTCGTTCTGGTATTCACCGCCACCGCCGCTCCGCTTGAACAGCAGCGCCGTCATCTGTGCCCGCTGCACCTTTCGCAGTCCAGAGTTCTGCAGGTAGACGGGCAGGTGGACCAGATTCCGCAGGAAGTCGTGGCCCCCAATGCCGCCCTCGGTGAACAGGCGGCGGCTGTTGGCCTCTGCCGCCTTGGCAATCACATGAGGATCCACAGAGATGAGCAGCACAAAGGGACGGTTCGGCGAGGAGAGCAGCGTCTGGACGGCGTTCAGCAGGGTGAGGATGCGCTCCGTGTCGCACGAGTCCAGAGCATCAATAACGCCCACCAGGCGACTCTGCTGATTGGTGAAAGAGTCCAGGCACTTGACCATGTCCGTCATCACCGACACCTCTGCCCCGAGCATCGTCAGTGGTGCCGTTTCGCTGGAGTGCACCGCTCGCTTCAGCTGTCGGATGTGGGAGGTGAAGAGGGCAACGCATACCTTGGCCAGGACGTGCAGGTGCGTGCAGATTAGCGTGCCCAGGATGGCGGCCACCACATACAGCACCACTTGAATCTGTTCCCGTTCCTTGGCATTGGCGTACGTGAAGTAGGCGACCATTAGGGAGATGCCAGTGACCAGGGTAATCAGCGCCAGCTCGAAGATCACAACGATGGGAATGCAGCACATGCGACGCCAGCGCCAACCTACGTCCGACTTTAGGCACTTGGGACGGAAGGCCCGATACAGGCGGGTGGCCAGCCAGCCGTAGTGCGACTCCATGGCCCCCAGTAGGGCTGCCAGCATATGTGCCACCGCACCGTCACCTGTCGGCGATGCGCTGTTCGCCTCCGCAAAGTGAAACCGCACCGGCTTGGCTTGGGAATCGGACTGGGGGCCAGGTGGGTGGCAAAATGCCACCTGCAGGATGAGGCGCAGCCGTGTCATTCTCTTCTCCAGGCCATGCTGCACGGAGTAGGCCCAGAGCATGTCCATCTGGTAGTTGCAATACTTCACAGTCGCCAGCAGCAGGTAGGTCACCAGCATGAAGCCCGCGGCGGAGGAGACGCCCCAAACAGTCGACCAGGTGCTCAGACCCACAATGGTGCCGATGAGCAGCGCCACGTGCAGGCACACGATGAACAGAAGGCCGCTGGTCTTGGCCGG